GCTTTCTTTGCAAGACAGGGTAGCCATAACAGTCCCCTTGATAACTAAGGATCCTGAACAAGGCAGTAAATGTTGTGACAGGATGCTGAGTCTACTGGAACAGGTCCTTTAAATTAGGGGCTCCACTGTAGAGTAAAGAGAACTAAGTAGGTAAAATTATTTATGAAATGAACAAGCCTTCCGCAGGAGAATAGTAGTTGCTGTGGTAATTGTGTATGAAATCAAAAGAAAATGCTGAATTAAAAATGGTTTCTTATTGCAAATTCTGTGCATTTACTTTAGCACATTTTGACAAAAAGGAAATAGGAAATATATTATATAACATACAATACAATATATAGTAGCAAATACTGTATATGGGCCATCTGGCTAATTCACAAATTACATCTGCTAGTAATGCTGACAAATTAACAGGTTGTTTACATCTTTGGCAATATTACGATAATTTGTTGTGTTGAAGTGCTGTTTGTGAAAGTTACTCAACAACATTTTACCAGCCACATTTGATCTATCACCATAGGAAACCACAAAGAACTATTGTGCAAATATATGACTCCTCATTCCGTTTATTTCGTTACACTGTACAGCATTCATCATTGTTTTCATTGTTGCTCTGTGAATTAGTCACGACTGTGTTGTTCATTTTCATTATTTACACTGGCCTAGTGCATTAGTGATGGGTGAGAATAGCTGAAAGATTTGGAATTTAAATTCTGCTAGTGTTTTAATTCTGATTTGGCATTTACCTCTCAGCAAGGATTAAAGCCTCCCTTTTTAGGCCTTTATCTGCCTACTAATCCTGCTGGCTAGGGAAGATTCATGATAGGGTATTATTACTTCGGACAGGAAAATATGAACTCCACAGACAGAAAGGTGGTGTGGCAGCTAGCACCACTCTCTCTCACAGCTCTTGAATTTGATTCCACACTGGGGAATCACACTTTCTGTGTGGAGTCTGCATGGTTTTCCCAGTGCTTTGTGAGTTGCTGCGTTCACTGACAATTTTCATAAAAAAGTAGATTCCTGATAATGCATGAATGGAAAATGTGAATTATTTACTTCCTCGGCTCTTCCTTTTTTGTTGTGTCACAATTTAACTTTCTTTATGTTTGAGGGATTTAATGTCTGTAGATTTTATCTGTGACTAACTGGATTGAACCTCTCTAGGGGTATGCCTGGTATATGCCCAATCCAACACAGCTCCTTCAAGGCTGAGCAGACCCAAATCTGATTTTAAGTGTACAGTACATATTGCTTCTTCATGGAAAATGTACCAGAACAGACCCACCGGGAAAGGCAGAAAATATTTCGTTAAGAGTGTCCAATAACTGAACAATTTCCACATTTTCTTAGTCATTAACAGAGAGGTGTCACAGTGGTGTGGTGGCTAGCATGGCTTCCACACAACTCTCGAGTCCTGGTTTGATTCTGGACTGGGGTACTGTCTGTGTGGATTTTGTTCTCCTCTGGTCTCTGTGCATTTCTTCCAGGGGCTCCAGATACTGTACCTCCCACCTTCCAAAAGAATTCTGTGTAAGGTAATGGATGTCTCACCATTAATGCTGGACGTTTTTGCTCACATGTATGGCCTGAAATGGGCCAGTGTCACAATCACAGTGCAGTCCTGCCTTGTGCACTGTGTTTCTAGAAGAAACTCTGTCTTTCCATTAATGTTTCTTTCCAGGAATAAATGAATAGCTAAACTAAAATAAGATTATTCGACAGTGGTTCTCATGGTGAAGTGACATTGTTTTTGTTTTTCTTTTATATCATTACATGACGATATAACTAGATTATTTATATATTTTTTCTTTATTTTTTAGTATGTCATGTGTACACTTACGGATGAATATCCTAATTAGTAGCCTTTTGTTGTCAGTGCATACAGTCAACAGGCATGTGGAGCATGTACAGTATCTGTGAGGCATGCAGGGATTGAGCTTCTCAGAACTAATATTCTCAGCCTCACGACTTCTATAAGCAGTCTTTCACAATGTGTTTCTCCAGGATGCATGGCAAAGTGTGTGCTTTAAAGAGACCACGTGCACCAGCCATCCTGACCCTTAGAGGGTGTAGCTAGGAAACAAGCCGGCGAGGTTTGGTATTTTATGACTAATCTTCATGGGATATGGTAAAGCCATTTTGATTTCTACAGCTCTCAAGGCATTTGGATTGTCGCCTTTCTGAAGAGCACTTGTCTGTAAAGTACCATGCGATTAAAACAAATTGTACTCCCTCGGTCTAATACAGCTACCTGGATTTAACCAGTTTACACTGGAGCTTCCCTCTTCTTTTTAGCCAGTGTAGTGTTTTTTCCCCAAGTTAGTTCCCTATCCTTCCATTAAAGCTTTTTAATGTTAAACGTATAATTATTTTTTGGATGTAAAGAGACCGTTTTCTCCACTATGTAAGCAGAAACCCTGCTGAGTCAAATGGCCTCTCGTTGTTTTTTTGCAGTGTTCTAGTGTGAATGTGTTTTGCGAAAAGTCTAAATCTGTGTGCTTAAATATCACCTTTTCCACCGCTTTTCACAAAGCACAGATAAGATATGCTTTTTTAGTTCAACTCAGTCTATACAATGATAATGTTAGTATTACGTTTAACCAAATAAGTAGGATTAAAGAAAGAATAGTATAACAATTAGTCTTTACTGTATACAGGGGCACTTTCAAATGTTTGAGAGTTTCAGGTCATTATATTTCATTATGAAGAGAGTGTATCCATTCGCTCACATAACTGTCTTAATATTATACTTTGAAAATCCTCTATCTGCATCTAAATCCTGGTGACTATTATGAACTGTTCACACCAAGTAACCAGTGGCAACCTTATCTCCGCGTGTTCTTGGACAGTGCTATAAATCGAGACGCTGAAAGAGAGCTTTCTGACTGATATTAAGACTCAAAACCCTGCTCCGTTTTGACCTCAGATGTTGACACAGCAAGCAACAGCACTGTGACACCGATGAAAGACAGATTGCTGAGACATCACAATCGACAGCATTGGAGTTCAGCCAGAGAAGCTCCTTGTAAAGGCTTTGCATCACTGGTTTTAAATGGGCACTTAAACTCTTGAAAGTGGTGCCATTCTGAGCTTTGGTGGCTTCAGTTAACAGTGATTAAAATGTACTTTCCTCCGTCGCATAAAGTGTCAAAAAATAAATGTACTAAAATGCTTGTAGCCGAAAACATTTCCAAAAACATATTGTATGTTCTTTTTGAAATTCTTTTTAATCTGCTGTATTTAATCATGTAACTTTAACTTGGTATTTACTTTACCTTAACAATTACCAATAAGGTATGTTCACTTTTCTAAAGCGTGATGTCATCCCAATTTTAGGTCCAGCAGACTAAAAAGAGGTTTTCCTCTAAGATCTGTCATTACTTTGCTCCATCTGTGAGACATATTTAATTTGTGTTAGCAGATTCAGTATTTTCCATTTTATGTTCTTTTTCAGGTTTAGTTTTTCTGTGGTCATGTTCTTAGTGTGAGAGATGTTTTATTTGATCTCTGACCTGAGGGAACGTGTGGTGTGGATGGTTGAGGGGAGAACATGCGTGTGTCTTTTTCTTTATTTTGGTCCCAAATAAGGTTTGATAATCGGCCAGTGAAAGTTCTGTTTTCTCACATACGAATGCCTACGACCTTAAAACAAGGAGGGAGGGTGTTGTCTAAGTGATGCGCTGTGTTGTGTTTGCGCCAGATGTGACGCTTTGCATTCAGACCAAAAAGTTCCAGTTTTGTCTTGTCGCTTTAATGCTTAATTAAAATCTCCATGCAGGACTTCAGATGGGTTAGCCCCTGTGTCATATAGGCCAGCTCTGTGAAGTGACCAGGATGTCATTGATTCATGGACATTTTCTCCCATCACATCCATTGTCTCTTTTTCAGCCTGTAACTCTTTTCTCACCAGTTTCTTCCTTGCCTGCCTGCTCAGTTTGAAGAGACATCCCTCTCTAGGTGTACATCCGCTTCTTAATGATCGGCTTCTTCTGATCTGCGGCTTTCTACAGCTTTATCCCTGAGTTGAGTTGAAAGATCATCAAAAGCAATTAAAGCACCAGCAATTTAACTGCCAATTTTGATATTGAAAATATCAAAAGTAGCTTACTGCATTTCATTTAACTAGCCATTCAATACCAGTTCACTTGTATTGTAATCTGAACATTTTAAATTGAGTTTCATCATTCTTTAGTCAGAGTGGGCTTCTACAGAATCAACAGTGAAACCACAGACTAGATGGACACAAGTGGAACTGCTGCATTTGGAAAGGCATTTAAAATGACAACAGGAGGAGACTTTACACAAAAGGTTTTGAGAGTTTGGAACAAGCTATCCAGCCGTGTTGTTGAAACCCATACTCTGTATGTTTCACGAAACAGCTGGATGGGGTTCTTGGATAAATGTGCTACAACCATATTTCAACATTGTGGACTAACTTTTCTCTTATCAACAACATATCAAAACGTCAGTCAGCAGGGTTGGTAGCATTAAGTCTCAAGTCTTGATTTCTATGGGAGAGTCTTTGCACATTGGCGTGGAGTATATTATTAAAAGATGGCAATTAACCATATATAAAACAATAAAAAATGTAAAATAATGAATATTAGTTTTATTTAAATTAAACCTCGAAGACATTCAACCAGTAGCAAAAAAAAAAATACAAAAAGTTGACGGTTATCTTCAGAAGACTGTCGTGTTTAAAAACTTTTTGAAGTAATCGAGTTAAAAACAGTTGCCACTCCTTAACTGTGACTATCTGTCGAGTACCCATTTATACAGCACTACATTAATTAGAGAAATCCAAATGAAGTGTTTTTTTGTACAATTGTATAAGAGCAGCAGCATCACATGTGGGATTTAAACACGCAACCCTCCGGTCCAGGGCACTAACGCAGCTCTCAACAATACATCTATTTACCGTCCCAGAACGCGCGGGGTTGCACATGACACAGTCACGTGAGACTTTGGAGAGGGAGGGGCCGGCCATGCGAGCGACTGTCACATGACCATGCCGGAAAACAGGAAGTAAGACGTTGAGCCGTGAGTGCGGGGCTGCCGCTGCTTTTCTAAAAAAAACATGATTTCATCCATAGTTATTGGGTGTGCAGTAGGTTTGATCTTGTTAGAAGGGGGTCAGGCTAGTTCTTTTGGAATAAACGCAACGGTGATGGATGTACAGTGGAGCAGAGACGATGTTTTCCGGAGAATGTCTGGTATGGAAGAGAGTTCCTTGTTTACCTCGCTATCTCCCGTACTCGGATTCCACTACTTGCTCGGTCTGTCCTCGTCTTTCCCCGACGACCTGGAGGTCAACCAGCAGTGTCGGGAACTTCTTCACATCTTCGCCCAGAGATGTATCTCCTACGTGGATTGCCTCCTGCAGTTTGCTCGACCTGTCAGGATCTGCCAGAACTGTTACAGCGAGATTGAGAGCCTGAATAATACTTATACAAATATCTCAAAGGTACATGACGATTCAGTAAATCTGTTAATCTTCTAGAGGTTTCATTGATATGCCTGGTCGAGTTTCTTTCTAGTGTAGGGGCTACACGATTTTGGGTTCAACACAGCGTTTGGACCTATTTCTGAAAGCGACATCATAAAAAGTACACACAATTTTTAGTCGTTTTGTTCCGAAAACTGCCTTTCAGGGGTCAGATGATGTCTTGTGATGATGCGCGGTACACTTCCGCTTTCCGGATGCGTTTTGTGGACTGTTAACTACAGTTGAGCAGTGCTGCCGGTCTGCATATTGCTACTAATCAGGACTTTTTTTTAGTAAAACAAAAGCGAAGCATAATCACGAAATCCACATACCGTAGAGGAAATGAATAAGATAAGCGAAAAAAAGGAAAATCTGAATAGTTTTTGCGTACATGTACAGTATGTCGACCTCTCTATTTTGTGCTCCATTGTTGTCTTATCTGACAAGGGTTGCGCTTGAAATACCGATTAAACTTTATCCTTGTGCTAAGGACAAACATGAGCTAAACATGAGACTGTTCATCTCACGTTTAAGAATTGAGATTAGAATTCACGAGTGACAAGTTAGCTCAATTATTTCTGAAAACTGTTCAAGTGAAGAAAGCGTACATTTAAGTGACCTGCTTTTGAAGACATACACCCTTTTCTGGGAAAGATGGACTCTAATCTCTTATAAATGGATCACACCTTTTCACAGTTTCATAGTTTCAGGTCAAGGTTTATTCCATGCTAAAGAAAAAGAAAAGAGACACCCTTTCTCCTTCTTCCACAGCCTAAACATTGTGTCTCTTTTCTTTTCCTTTAACATGGAATAAATCTTTGCTTGTTCCTTTGAAGCCTACGCATGCTGACACAGCGACCTGCTCGAACAATTTTTATTGATTCTATATTATGGTTTTTATTAAGTCCAAATAAAGCACAGTTAAAGTCTTCCAGATATTGTTGTTGAATATTGTTATTGGCATATCTTGTCTTCCAGGAGAATACAGGGAATGTGAGCTGTAGAAACGTCTTGCTAAGGTCTGACAGACTGCAGCTGGTTTCTGTGCTCCATCGCGATATGAATGTCATCTGGGACACGGCGGACTGTGAAAGTAAGCGCTGTACCAGAGCAGAGCAAAACCGGAGTGCAAAATAAAAGAAAAGGGAACAACGTTAACTAATTTAAAGTTTCTTAGACATGATGAAAATAGCATTAGTGGCATTACTCTTTTGCCCCCCAAAAGAAAATTAATTCCAAAGCCCAGTCTGATCCATTCCAGAAGTCTGATACAAACGAGCTTCTCTTGGTGGTTATCAGTAACGCAAGGAGATGCTTGTAGCAAAGTCCTGGATTGGAGCAGATCAGAAGTCGGATAAGTTGAACAGCCCACTTTAGGGTTTTGGTCCCATGTGCAAAAGCCTGCATTCTGTAATGGGTATTGTACCACACAATAAAGAACATCGTCTAGTGAAACATGAAAATCTTATTAAAACTCACACACTTTATTTTTGCATTTAGTGCAAGTTTTGGGTTATAAGCAGTCTTAATGTTTTATTTTGTTATAGTGTCTGGATGTCTCCCGGTTTGAGAGTTTCTCCTCTTTTTTTTGCAGAATGCTTGACTTTTCCTCTTGGCAGCTTCTCGAATGATAGCCTATACTTCATGGCATCTCTGAATCAAACGCTTAGCTGTTTTGACAAATATGAGCAGGTAAATCACAGCAAAAGATCGGGAGGGGTTCATATACATAATACTCAGCCTAACTGGTTATGATTAACTGGGAGAAATTCTATTCTGTTCATAATTAATATAGTATTCATTGATATCATATTACAAAGGTCATCTGTACTTTAATTTTTTATGTATTTTACTTAGACATTGACCATGTCAATAAATTAACATTAACCTGGTAAAAAAACTGCAATTAAGAGGTTACTTACTTTAAAAATAATATTTTTTTAACTAAAATAAGTTTGTCTTTTGCTCACCTTTTTTTAAATACTTTTTTATTGTTCCTCAAAATTAATAAAATACACTACAGAAATGAAAATAGTAGTTCCCCACCCCTCACAAAACCGACTTGCCCTTTCTCTTAAGTAGTTTTCTGCTCTGTGTTTCTACCTGCGGACACCTAAAATATGGCCAAACAGCTACAGTTGAACTTCCGTGCAACAAGACATTGTGTCAACAGCACCTCCACCATGCCCCCTTCTCTTGATTACACATATGGAAGAGATTGAACAAATTATTTCTCAAGAAATTTAATTGTGCAACATCGTAGTGGGTGTCACATATGTTTTGAATAGGAGTCAAAGGAGACTTTTATTACTGTTCTACAAGTCTGATGTAACTTACTTTATTTATCCATGATTTTGTTACTGTGGTTTGTTTAATGATATTTTCATGCTGTTCGATTACCAGCTGTGCTTCGGTGTTCTAATGAGTTTAATGAGACTGTCTTTTGCATTGTGTTCTTCAGCAAGGGAACCAGTCTGTAGTCTGCAAGGAATGCAAAACAACCTACAGAGGCCTGAATGACCTCTACAATAGGATGGAGAAGAATCAAACTGTTTGCTTTGATATTGAAGACGCGGTGAGAATTGATTTGATCAATTGAAGAAGTGGTAGAGCTTTTGTTTGTTTTAATCTGACACTGCATAGCTGCTTATTTAACCATTGTGGTCATCTTTCAATTAAGGTCCACGGGGGAAAAAACCAAAACAAAATAATGGAAACGTGTTTACAAAGTATGCCAGACTGGGGGGGAAAAAAGTATTTCGAAAACATTTTTCAAAAAAGGTTCTGCGTTTTTACACTACAACCGAAACTGACACACTGTATTAGAAGTAGGCCTCTGCAGTCATTGTATTTAGTGGATTTTTTTTAAGTTGTAGATGTTTGTATAGTTAGCAAGCATGTCCTAATAGTTTTTTTCATCCCAGCTGCAGATAGAGACAGAGCTGGTGGTTCAAGCTGACTCAGTAAGAAACAAGGAGTAATAACAAAGAAAGTGAAACCAATATTTTTTTTTTTCATCTGCCAGAGCTTAAAGACCAAGTCCTGCTGTTCCAAATTAGCCTAGCCTGTGTGTTCCTTCTTACTGAACCTGTGACTGGGTTATTAGCCGGTTTGTTTTCACTGTCCCTTTTAATTAAACAGCATTCCTTTAATGCAAATGTGAAGTAACGTCAGACAGATGTTTCTTTGTTCATTAAGTATATATTACATGCTAACAAGTATATCACACTTGTATGAATAATAAAAATGGAAATTTGAGCAGTGAACTTTTTCACTGCAGTGTGCTTTCAGGCCCAGGCACCAATCTCGATTTCTAATACAAGAGTTGCTAAGTGGGTCTTAAGCGAATCCTTTGTCAATGTGGACTATTACTTTTTTGTACTTCATTTCAGTGAGTATTCATTTTGTTCTGAATTCCCGAAACTATTAATGATACCAAAAAGCTGTCAGTGTTAAGATAATTACTTTTTTTCTGGTTTTGAGTGCTTTGAATAATTTTAAGAACTGGTCCACCTCATAATTAGAGAGAGGTGCAGATGTTAAACCCTTTTTCACCAAGAACATCTGTGGTTTGTCTTAAGCGTATAGGCCTATTCTCAATAGGGACAAATACGCTGTAGTATTATAGTGATTTTCCTGTAGTCTTAGAGTATACGTTAATACTTCCCTCTCTTTAGTAGGTATAATATTCATAGTTACAAATCATTGCAACATCAGCGATCACCAAGAAATTTTCCCATGACCAAGAATCAGTAGTTCTAATGATAGCAAGTTTGAGCTGTACAGCCATCATCTATTTTTAAACTTTACATTCAAACAAGCAGGCGATATTTCATTTCACAACTGTTTGGTGGCTTGATCAAAAAGGATTTGAAAGTTCCTCTCCTGTTAGAAGTCTCATTCTTTCCGCCGACAAGGCATATACTCCGAAAAGATCAGTGCAGTGTCACTTGTTGTGATCTGTTGTGAGACAGAATTTTCCATTAAAATCCTTTAGTACAGTTCCTCTGCAGTAAGGGATATGAGACATAGGGGACAGGTTGTAATACGCTTCTGTATGGTACACTTAAATTTGGATTTTAGAAAAAGTCCTTTTTTTGCTTTGTATGAGTATTTTCATTCCTCGTCTAAAATGAAAATTTATTTGTTTTCTAATTTTGAAGTTTAGAAAGGAAGGATATACACAGACTGAGCATTAGAAACAGGTCCTTGGGAAACTGGGTCGTTCATATCTCTCCTGAAAACCCATGTCCTCAGGGACTACTGGGTTTTGTTCTGATAACAATATCTCAGTATTGTCGGAGATTTATCAATTTTTTTTCTTTTTAGCAGGTATTGACGTTAAGATTTCCTGCTTTACTGTAAAATGTAAAATCTATAAAGCTGACCAAGTCTGCCTAGATTATAAACTGTCGTTTTAAGACTTATCCACGTAGATGAAATATTCGTCAGATATCCGTGCTTTGGCCTTTCTAGTGAAGAAGTTGACTCATAACTGCAAACTATGCAATTCCAACTTCTGTAAAAGCTTCAGTGTAAAATAGAAAACACTACATAAAAATAAGTAATGTAGATCAAACACACACAGTTCTAGTTGTGGTTTGTGGGGCAAATGGGTGTTTTTGGAAACCGCTCACTCAACGGGAGGCTCTGTGGACTGTTTGGGTTTTTCTTAATGTGTGAATGTTATAGAACAGCTCCCCTTAGAGGCCATGACAAGACAGCTCTCTGTGCCGAAACAGTGCAGAAGTATCTGACGGAAAACAAAGAGATCACCTGTATCCAGCTATTTGTTTTCACCTGTTGGTATTCATTGAAATCTCTCCTTTTGTACATTCGTATGGAAACCCTTAGGTAGCTTAACACGCTTAATGGTAGATGCGGAATTAAAGGAGTTACTTGGGTTTTTTTCAGCCCTTCTCCAATACCAGTTGTCGTTTTTTTTTTCTTTGTGCTTTTTTCTCCAGAGAAAATAAGTAGGAAACATGAGTCACAGGCACCTGTTTTCACTCCAGTACAGTGTAAGATCTCAGATGAGAGACTGCTTGCCTACAGGCAGTACCAGACGCGCTCCTAGAATCTGGGCTGTCTTGTTGTTTTGCAAACATGGAAGCCATAAACTTTCCTTCGTTATTTCTTGTTGCAGACTTTGCTTTCAGATGAGTAGGCGGCTTCCTCGATCTCCAGAATGGTTTGGCTTATGCCAAATTAAGTGCACACTGCTGACTGGGCCTTTGGAAAGAGAGCGCTCTTTGTTGTTTTCATTAGATCTTGTTTTTGAACTGTTTCAGATGAATATAACCCGCAGACTGTGGAGCAAGAATTTCAATTGTTCGTTCCCCCGGGAAGAGATCGTCCCCGTCATCGCCGTGTCCAGCTTCATGCTCTTTCTGCCCATCATCTTCTACTTGAGCAGCTTCCTGCACTCCGAACAAAAGAAGCGCAGGCTCATACTCCGTGAGTAACCAGCTTAATGCGCCCATTGTTGCAGACTTTTAACTGGCAGAGCTTTGCTGGGATGCCACAGGTTGTTTTGTATGGGGAAGTACAGTACAAGTTGAAAACTCTGCAATGCAGTTTTCATGCGCAGAGACGTTCCTATGAATTTTCTGATAATTCAAGTGTATGTGGGGAAACTCTTATGGCTGCAGACCTTCATGGGAGCTTTTAGTATACAAGGGAAACATATTCAAAGCCGGTCTTATGTGAAATTACAGTAGCCATTTACAGAAATGGGACCAAGCCTTATAAAATTTGAAGTGGACAAACTGCAGTGTGGATATACTTTGAGTTAGCAGTGAAACCTAATGAGATTAGACTTTAAAGTCTAACCCGGTAAGAGCTTTTAAATACAAGATTGGTAAGGAAAACGTTTAAGCAAAGCATGAATATCTCCCCAGCTAATTGTTATCAGCAGGTGTTGGTAGAATTTTAAACCTAATTGAATGCAACAATTTTTAAATTGTATTCTGTGTGCAAATTTTGATTACAGAGTAAAGCATAATAGAACATTAAGAAGACCTAAAGAATATTCTGTTGCGTAAAAGAGACTCATCGTCCTGCAGATTTGCTGTAGCTATTTACATTCAGACACTAATGCTTGGCATGCAGTGACTTTGGTTATTTTCAGTCCTATAAGAGCACACCGGAATTCACTAGAAATTCATACCTTAGGTATGGAAAATATCATATATGGAGAAAGGCATTAGGAACAAGATTATAACCACCCACCCCTGACATTTACGGATTATCCAGTTGAAATTGTTTCTCACTGGTCTGTGCTTCGTTATTAATAGAGAAAAAGGCAGTGCTCCCATTTCAGGAATAGGCAGTCTCATCTTCCTGTGTTGTTTTTGTTTTTAGCGAAGCGTGCGAAATCAAGCACCAGCGTGATGAACATTCAAGACAGACACAGCTGAGTGCCCAACGCAGCAGACCTGTGGCAAAGCTGGGAAGAAAACAGTGGAGATGCTTGGCTTTTCAGGAGCCCAAGATAATGGAGTATAGTATGGTGAATAACGCTGCCAACAGGGGTGAACGGACCTCAGTGTTAATAAGACTGTCTTTGTTTTTGTTTGTTTCTGCTTTTCTTTTTTGGTTGTAGAGAGAGGGCAAGGTGTATGACAGGGCCAAGCATGAAGTTGCTGGAGCCCTAATGTTGTTGTTAGGATTGTTATAATTCTGCCAGGGCTTCAGAAGAAATTCATAAAATATACTCTTTTTCATTACAAATTCATGAAACTTCACAGGATTGTAGAGGCCTATGGTAAGATGTTGGAGTGGAAACGAGGCTGAGTTGTCGTATGACTTCTTGGCCATTTTGGGGATTTTTGATATAAATTAAGAACTTTTTTGAAAAACATCTCAGAAACCAGTAATGGTAGAGATCTAATGTCTGAGGTCTAGACTTGCTGTGGTCACATCGATTGGTCACATGGGTTTTCTGCCATATTGGATTTGTCAAAAACCATTCAAATAATCTTTACTGTTAACACAGGTTGCTATAGTAACGAAAACAGCTGCCATGCATCACTTAAATACTAGATATGCTTAATATCCAAGTTACCAAATAAGTAATAATTATTCCTTATGTATATTGCTTTGGATCCCACAGTGTCCCACAGCAGTTTACATATAAGAGAAAACCCACAGTTCACC